TTGCGTGGTTAGTTTTTTGTTTTTCTTTGTGGTCGAGTAGTTCATTAGTTCTTAGTCTTCCCAAGTGATGGCATCTGATACACTTTATCTTGTGTTGGGCTTTTAATTTTGCCTCTGTCATAGATAAGTCCTTTTCATATGCGCCTTCTTATATCAACTTACTTGTAATCCTTATTCAACGTGATAAATTTGTTGACTAAACCTTGTTTGGTTATCAGATTTGGGTGGCGTGGCCAGTCGCGTGATAGCATTGGTACTGTACTATGTGTCGATGATGATGGGATCCTACGTGTTGGCTTTCCCGGAGCCTCCAGAGGGTGGAAAGCTGATCCAGCAGAGATGGAGAGAGTTGAAGAATTCAAGGTTGGGGACTGGGTTCGAATTCGCCCCACTCTTACAACTGCAAAGCACGGATTAGGATCTGTTACACCTGGTAGCATTGGTATTGTGTATTGCATAAGACCAGATAGTAGTCTGTTGCTGGAATTAAGCTATCTTCCAAGTCCATGGCATTGTGAACCAGAGGAGGTTGAGCTTGTAACTCCTTTCAGGGTGAGCGAGATATGTTGATATTTGTTGTACAGTTCTTACTCTGTAGTCTTTTCAAACACTAATAGTGTTTACTTTGAAGATTGGTGACAGGGTATGTGTGAAGCGATCTGTTGCAGAGCCTAGGTATGCATGGGGTGGTGAGACACACCATAGTGTTGGAAAAATAAGTGAGATAGAGAATGATGGGCTCCTGGTAATTGAAATACCAAATCGACCAATACCATGGCAGTCTGATCCTTCTGACATGGAGAAGGTGGAAGATTTCAAGGTAATATCTAATTTTTCATTCATATGATATTTATTAAAAAAATACAACAGGATGGCATTTTTTATTCTTCTTCATATCCACATATTGCCGTTTCTACCATGCAGGTAGGTGACTGGGTTAGAGTCAAAGCTTCTGTACCATCCCCCAGATATGGATGGGAGGATATCACAAGGAACAGTGTTGGGATAATTCATAGCTTGGAGGAAGATGGTGATATGGGTGTCGCCTTCTGCTTCAGGAGCAAGCCTTTTTCTTGTTCTGTCACAGATGTGGAAAAGGTACCCCCTTTTGAAGTGGGGCAAGAGATTCATGTGATATCATCTGTTACTCAGCCAAGACTTGGATGGTCAAATGAAAGTCCAGCAACTGTTGGAAAAATTGTTAGGATTGATATGGATGGAGCTTTGAATGTAAGAATTCTTATCTTAGACATTTATACAATATCTTATTTGAGCGGAGGACGAGAGAAAGAGATCAAGGGAGAGGAGGAACAATACCTAAAATGTTTCAAAATTCTAATGTCTTTTAGTTTTCTGTTGAATTTATCTTATCTCATGTCTTCTTAACCCGTCTGTCTCGTCCCTTTCTCTTTTTAATTGAAGACACATAAAACAAGAAATTAAAAAAGGAACTTTTGCTAAATGAACACTTCCATTTTTTCGGTTAAATTAGTTGTAGAACATTTTTTATTTTCTGCTGGTGCATGACAATTTCTGCAACTATATATTATATGCTTCTGTGTGCGTGCAGAATTCAACAACCATATAACAGGACCTTTTTGCTTGTTTGTTATGTAGACAAGAGTCACTGGCCGACAGAGCTTGTGGAAAGTTTCTCCTGGAGATGCGGAACGACTCTGGATTTGAAGTTGGTGACTGGGTACGTTCAAAACCAAGCCTGGGAACTCGACCAAGCTATGACTGGAACAGCGTTGGAAAGGAAAGTTTAGCTGTCGTGCACAGTGTTCAAGATACAGGTTATCTGGAGTTGGCTTGTTGTTTCCGTAAAGGCAGGTGGATAACTCATTACACAGATGTTGAAAAGGTCCCATGCTTTAAAATTGGGCAGTATGTCCGGTTCCGGACTGGGCTAGTTGAACCAAGATGGGGCTGGAGAGGGGCTCAACCTGATTCTCGAGGCGTCATAACTAGCGTTCATGCTGATGGGGAAGTGAGAGTGGCTTTCTCTGGTTTGCCAGGGTTGTGGAGAGGAGATCCTGCAGATCTTGAAATAGAGCAGATATTTGAAGTTGGAGAGTGGGTGAGATTAGAAGATCAAGCAGGTGCTTGGAAATCCATTGGACCGGGTAGTGTTGGAGTGGTGCAAGGATTGGGATACGATGCAGATACATGGGATGGAACCACTTCCGTTGGATTCTGTGGGGAGCAAGAAAAATGGGTTGGGCCTACCTCTGCTCTTGAAAGGGTGAACAGGCTCATGGTTGGCCAGAAGGTTAGGGTTAAACTGTCTGTCAAGCAGCCAAGATTTGGGTGGTCAGGCCACAGCCATGCAAGTCTTGGAACCATATCCACAATTGATGCTGATGGCAAGCTGAGAATATACACTCCAGCTGGTTCAAAAGCTTGGATGCTGGATCCATCAGAAGTGGAACTTGTGGAGGAAGAGGAGCTTCACATCGGTGACTGGGTTAGGGTTAAAACATCAGTTTCAACTCCAGCCCACCAGTGGGGAGAGGTGAATCGTTCAAGTGTTGGGGTTGTGCATCGGATGGAAAATGAGGAGCTCTGGGTGGCGTTTTGCTTCACAGAGAGGTTGTGGCTTTGCAAGGCATCGGAAATGGAACGGGTTAGGCCGTTTAAAGTGGGGGACAAAGTGAGGATTAGAGAAGGGCTGGTGACCCCACGGTGGGGTTGGGGAATGGAGACCCACGCGAGCAAAGGACAGGTAGTGGGGGTCGACGCAAATGGGAAGTTAAGGATTAAGTTCCGATGGAGAGAAGGGAAGCCGTGGATTGGAGACCCTGCTGATATTTCTCTTGATGAAAGCACGTGACTGAACTTTTCCAACTTGTGCTTCTTTTCACGTGCTTCCTCAGCCTATCGGGGTTTTCTCCCTCTCGAATGTGCAGACAAGCAGGAATTGCATTGTTACGGCAGCATGCAATCAGATCTGCCTGGAAACTATAACTTTGTTGTAATGGGCTCTGAAGGGACAATTTCTTTGTTAATACAGAAGATTGCAAGAGACGGATAGATAGGAATCGGGGGAAATTGTCTTTCCCTACCGTTAATTATACGAGACACAAGGGAGGCGAAGAAAGACGTGGCAGTTTGCCATTTGTGTTTCATAGATGTGCAGTTGACAAGCTGTTGAGGTATATATATATATATATAAGGTTATATATACTGATGTACAAATTGAACCCTTAATCTTGCTAGTTAATACACTCGTCTAGTCCATTTCTCTAAAGCTTTTCTCGTTGGTGTTTTATTTTGTCTGTAAACGAATTGGCAGTAGCGTTATTACCATTTATATTTGGATGAGAGTTGCAAGAGCCAGGGGGGTTCGTCTAGTGTTCTTGTGATTCATTTGTAAACTAATTGTCCTATATCTTTTGGTAATTGTAAATTCCTCCTCCAAACGTAGCCTAAAAATTACAGGGATAAAGGTTTTCTCCTTGGGATTTCAAGGCCGGATTGGAACCGAACAAACGAATCCAAAATTTTTCTGGCATTGCAAGAGGAACTCATGTCAAAGTAGCACGATCTAATTCAAAAATCTCACCCAATTGAGCACATCTAGCATATTACCTGCACGAGGAGTGTAGCACGCAGATCATCCACTGCGATATCAGGCCCTGCAACACACTTCTAAATGATTCATTCACGTCAAGGGTTTCAGACTTTGGATTGGCTGCGGAGTGATCAAACTCTTAGTAATTCAGTCATCAGAGGGACTAGATGATATCTTGCACCAGAATGGTTCAGGAATATTCCGATTACTGCAAAGGTTGATGTTTATAGTTATGGGGTCATGTTATTGGAGATTATCTGTTGCAGGAGCAGCCTTGAATGGAAAGGAAAAACGAAGAACAAGTGATACTAACGGATTGGGTTTACGATTGCTACAAGGGAAAAACATTAAAGAAGCTGTTAGAGGATGAGGAGGAGGCAAGAAATGACATGAAAAGGCTGTTGAGGAGGCTTGAAGGAGTGGTTGATGTATCCATGCCTCCATGTCCTCTCTTTAGTTCAATTTGCTGAAACCTACACGTTACGCATAGTCTTTGAAATTTCGTAGCCATTTTCTATTCACTAGAAAAGCATAAAAAGTCTTGTATGTTTAGGATCATAACATCTTGTTCTCCGCATACATAATTCAGATTTGAATGTTGCAGACAGGTTGCCAATTAGTTCCAACCCAAACACAAGCAATATTTCAAATGGCATGCAATATCTTAATCTCACCTTATGTGCTCTTCCTTCTGATATGAAAAAGTGAAGGAAAGGTACAGATTACAGCCTTTTAGCGTTGTTGGCAAGTAATCCGCTAGGTCTGCACCTTCATCACTATTTGAACATGCTGGGGACGAACGAAAAAGCAGACAAAATGGTCCGTGAGAAGTTGGGTGGTTTTAGGGATAAAACAAGAAATAGATGCTTTAATGGAGGCACAAAACTTGCATGGAGTTCTGTTTCTCTCTTTCCAACCGATGAATCCTCGAGAAGGATTTGTTTGTCCTTAAGTAAAAGGCACCTACGTCTCACCACATGTCCTGGATTTGCGGAGGTAAAAAGATGAGACTCTGATTGCATTGTGCGCCTTAGTATGCTAGATTAGTAAGCAAGATCATTGCATGAATGTAACACTATTGATTCATACGTTCTTAACAGAATTAATGTGTCGCAAAGATTTTAACAAGTAAAGATCGTACTAGTTGGATTACATTCCATCAAAAATAATATTTCCGAAGACTAACAAGAATAAAAATCATCACCAGAAAGTAAAGAGTACTAGTTGATCTTAATTTCATTAACTACTAGACTTGAGAAGAAAACAAACAAGAGAGTTGTTCTGATGCTTTCCCATGATAAAATCATTCTTCAAGCGGATTGAGCACGTGACCAATGAACCAAACAGTTCCAGTCATTTCCTCTCTGATAAAAAACATGAATGGGTGATCAGCCACAAAGTTTATGCTTTTAATCGGTTCAAAGGGTCAAGCACAATCTGCCCCACAGTCAAAAATAGAAACAGCTGCAGCTTTTGTACCACCTTCGTCAACTTCAATGAAGGACTTGTGGATTATTTTGGGGTCACCAATGCCCGACTCCACCATCTCACTGAAATCACCATTACCGTTGAAAGGCAACACCAGTCCTAACTTCATGAGTATTTCGGAAGCTAAAAAGTTAAGAGTTAATATTAAACTTTGGGATCTTCAAGGCACCAGGTTCACGTTGTATTTCGGGGAGATGGCAATCTAAGAAATCAGGTTCAGAACAAACTCTCTTGACCAAAGCTGGGAGCCCATTTCTTGAATTTGGAAGTAAAAAGTACATAGAAAACCGCCTCTCCTTGTCTTTGCCTTGCTTGTACGGAAGCTTTGAGACTTTGAAGCCGTCAAAGGCTTTTACATAATGCCATCCGTAGCTTTCAATCATGAACGGTGCCTCTGTTAGAGTTCTATGGAATTGCAGAGTACAAAAAACAAGAAGAAATCAATAAGATTTTGATTTCTATCAAGAACACAAAAGAAAAATGGAGATGCCAGGAAGATGAAGAGCTCTGTGTATTTTCTGATTTCATTCAGCTATGACTGAAATGATTAATTGGCTACAAACATAGAGTGGGGAAGATATATCCGTTTGAGGGCGCACTACCATTCCCATTACACAAACTCACGTGTGTTTTACATGCTCACATGTCAGTGAGATGTGATACCATGAGACACACATATATTTAGCCTATTAGCTTTGATTTAATCTCAGCCTTACATTTCAAAACTAAGAGAGAAAAGAGACATTGAATTACAATGAAACAGAACACACCCAAAATACAAGGCAGCTGCAAGGCTTAAACATCAACACTCTCCTCTAAGCTAGCAGCTGACTTTACTCCTAGCATTCCTCTGAAATAGTTGAACTTCTCCTTTGGTAGTGCCTTTGTCAGAATATCTGCCATTTGTTCTTCAGATTTGCAATAAACAAGTTCAATCTCATTCTCTTGTATTGCATCTCTGATGAAATGAAATTTCCTGCTAATATGTCTTGTTTTCTGATGAAACACAGGATTCTTGGCAATAGCTATTGCTGAAGTGTTATCACACATTAGCACAGTAGGTTCAACTTGTTCTTCCCCGAAGTCTTCCAATACAAATCTTAACCATTTGGCCTGAGATGTTGCTTCAGCAGCACTTACATATTCTGCTTCTGCAGTGGATAATGCCACTGTGTTTTGTTTAACTGATGCCCAAGAGAACACACCTGAGCCAAGATTGAAGGCATACCCTGATGTACTTTTCATGTCATCTATACTCCCAGCCCAGTCACTGTCACAATATCCAATAAGAACTGCTGACTTTCCTTTTACATATTCAATGCCAAAATCCATAGTACCTTGAATGTATCTCAGTACCCTTCTTGTTGTTCCCATATGTTTCTTAGTTGGACCATGCATGAATCTTGCCAAGAGACTAGTACCAAACATTATATATGGTCTAGTGGCAGTAAGATACAGAAGACTTCCCACCAATTTTCTGTATTCTGACTCATCTGCAGCTTCACTTCCATCATTCTTGCATAACCTTTCATTTGCTGCCAGTGGTGTTACCACAGACTTACAACCTTGTAGTCCAAACTTCTCCAGCAGTTTCATTGCATATTTCTTCTGATGTATGAAGATGCTTTTCTTGGTTTGAACAATTCCCATACTAAGAAAATGATGTAGCAATCCCAAATCAGTCATTTCATAATGCTGCATCATGTCGTTTTTGAATCTGTCAAGCATTGTGTCACTGCTTCCAGTGTACACAATATCATCTACATAGACAGAGACTATGAGAATCCCTGACTTTTCAACCTTAGTATATAAGGTGGCTTCATTAGGACTTCTTTTAAAACCTGCCTTGGTGAAGTAAGAATCAATTTCATCATACCAAGCTCTTGGAGCTTGTTTAAGGCCATATAATGCCTTACTCAACTTATACACTTTATCCTCCTTGCCTTGTATGACAAATCCTTGAGGTTGATCAACATAAACTTCCTCTTTGAGTACACCATTAAGGAATGCAGATTTTACATCTAACTGGAATAGTTGCCATTCTTTCTGAGCTGCAAGTGCGATCAAAGTCCTTATGGTGTCAAGCCTAGCAACTGGTGCAAAGGTCTCATTAAAGTCAATGCCTGGCTTCTGTGAATAACCTTTTGCAACCAGTCTAGCTTTGTTTTTCTGAATGCTTCCATCAAGGTTCAGTTTTGTTTTGTATACCCACTTCACACCTATCACAGGTTTGCTAGATGGTCTATCTACCAGCATCCATGTATTATTCTTCTCAATCATGTCTAGCTCAGCTTGCATAGCTTTCATCCAAGACAAATCTAGGGCAGCCTCTTCATAATTCTCGGGTTCCATAATGCATACATTACACTGTGCAATGACTTCATTTAAGGATCTCCATTTCTTTGGAGTAGAATCATAGCTCTGTGATAGATCAATGTTTGAGCTTGGATCATCAGCATTAATATTTAAATCATCTAGTGAAGTATCAGAAATAACCTCAGGGAATACACTGCCATCTTGAACATTTGACCCTTGAGTTAGATCAGATTCTGCCATATCAGTAGTGATCGATACACTGGACTGTTTTCCAGAGCTGTCATCCCAATCCCATCTAGCACTCTCATCAAATACTACATCTCTAGACAATATAATCTTACTAGTGATAGGATCAAATAATCTGTATCCTTTCTCACTGGTTCCATAACCCACAAACACACATTTGTGACTGTTGCACTCAAGTTTGTGTCTTAAATTCATGGGAACATGAACATAGCATACTGACCCAAAAATCTTCAAGTGTGCAATTCCAGGTTTTCTTCCACTATAGGATTCAAAAGGGGTCCTTTTATCCAAAGCTTTAGTGGGACATCTATTGAGGAGATACACTGCAGTGTGCACAGCTTCTGCCCAAAACTGGTATGACATGCCCTTTTCATGTAACATAGATTTTGCCATCTCCACCACAGTTCTATTCTTTCTTTCTGACACACCATTCTGTTGTGGTGTGTATGACATGGTTAGTTGCCTTTGAATCCCAGAAACATTGCAATAGTTACTGAATTCAGAAGACAAGAACTCACCACCTCTATCACTTCTTAGATACTTGATTTTGTACCCACACTGCAATTCTGTCATTGCTTTGAACCTTTTGAAATACTCCAATGCCTCAGATTTGTACCTCAGAAAGTAGACCCATGTCATTCTTGTACAATCATCAGTGAACAGAATGAAGTACTTGTTTCCAGCATTTGAGGCAATTTGCATTGGACCACAGATATCAGTATGTATCAATTCAAGTGGGAATTTAGCTCTCCAAGCAGATTCTCTTGGAAACTCATCTCTATGTTGCTTGCCAAGCATACATCCTTCACAGACATTCTTGGAATTTTCCAAGTGAGGTAGCCCATGAACCATTTCTTGCTCCCTGAGTTGCAGCACACTCCTTGTGTTTAAGTGCCCTAACCTCTTGTGCCAAATCTGAATGCAATGAGATACACTAGCTTTTAATGCTAGTGGTGTGGCAGGCATCATTGTTAAAGGAAAGCATCTGTTGCTAGTCATTTGAACCTTAGCAACCAGTCCATTCAAGTTCCAGCTATCAAAAATACAAACTGCATTACCACCAAATAGCAGATAGTAACCATGTTCCAACATTTGCCCCACACTTAGAAGATTTTCGTCCAAACCAGGCACTAGCATTACTTCTTGTATGTGCTTTCTTCCCATCTTAGTTTCAATGACTAGTGTGCCTATTCCTGCTACACTCACAACTTCACCAGTTCCCATTTTTACTTTTGCATTCAGATTTCTACTCACATTCACCAGCAAGCTTTCATTTCCTGTCATGTGGTTGCTACAACCACTGTCAATATACCAAGTGTTATTGACCTTCACCTGAGACACAGAGTTGCAAGCAAAAAATAATGTTCCCATATCATCAACCTGATTTGCATAGTTAGCCTTCTGCACCACTTTGTTCCCATTACAGTTTCTGACTTCATGACCAAATTTATTGCAATTTGTGCATTTAGATTTTCCTTCAAACCAGCACTTTCCATAGTGCAGTTTATCACAATGTTTGCAAGCTGTTTTGTTCGAATCATGAGGATTATTCTGCTTAGAGATAAAATTAGGCTTAGTATCCCACTTTTTCCCTTTGTTCTTCCAATTTTTTCCTGATTTCTGAGTACCAGAGAACCCACTGGGTTTTTGAAACTTAGACCCAACATTTAGACTAGCAAATGCCTTTTCAGTGGAATGATCAGTATGCATATCAAGCCTTTGTTCATAACCCTTCAGAGAAGCAACCACTTCTTGGATTTCAAGTGTTTCAATATCCTTTGAGTGTTCAATCACAGCACAGATAGAGTCATAACTTCTAGGCAAGCTTATAAGTAATTTTTGAACAACCCTCTCCCTAGATAGTTCTTCACCATAACTCCTCATTTGATTCATGATGTCAAACAGTTTAGTAAGATATGCAGACAAAGATTCATCATCTCTCATCCTAGTATACTCAAACTCTCTGCGTAAACCTTGTAATTTCACATTTCTAACCTGTTTATCACCTCTGAATTCTTGTTGTAGGATATCCCAAGCTCCTTTGGAGGTTTCTTCATTAGAAATCCTGGGAAAAATCTGATCAGACATAGCTCCTTGAATCAACCCAAGAGCCTTAGCATCCTTCATTATGATCTCCGCAACGTTTGTTGACATTTGAGTAACTGCATCCTTCTCCTTCTTTTCATCAGCTATCTCAACCACAGTCGATGACTCTGGGATAGTAAACCCAGTCTCTACAAGATCCCAAAGTCCATGAGACCTGAGAATGGTTCGCATTCTGATATTCCAGAATTCATAGTTCTCGCCATTGAAAATGGGAGTACGAAGTTCAGAACTCATTGATCCAGCCATGTTAGACACAGATCTTCGATTTGAAAATTTTAAAAAAAAAAACTCGATTCTTCAGCGATTCACTGAAGAACCCAGAAAACACAGATTCACGCCCAGATTAAAAACGATGAACCAGGCTCTGAGGCCATGTTAGAGTTCTATGGAATTGCAGAGTACAAAAAACAAGAAGAAATCAATAAGATTTTGATTTCTATCAAGAACACAAAAGAAAAATGGAGATGCCAGGAAGATGAAGAGCTCTGTGTATTTTCTGATTTCATTCAGCTATGACTGAAATGATTAATTGGCTACAAACATAGAGTGGGGAAGATATATCCGTTTGAGGGCGCACTACCATTCCCATTACACAAACTCACGTGTGTTTTACATGCTCACATGTCAGTGAGATGTGATACCATGAGACACACATATATTTAGCCTATTAGCTTTGATTTAATCTCAGCCTTACATTTCAAAACTAAGAGAGAAAAGAGACATTGAATTACAATGAAACAGAACACACCCAAAATACAAGGCAGCTGCAAGGCTTAAACATCAACAGCCTCAACAGTACTACCATCGAGAAGGCCAAATTTGCACTCTTCTGTCTCCGATGGATCAACCGATCGCTCCAAACTCCTTTGAAGTATATCGTATTTAAAAGTAAAAGCATGGTATTTTCATCAACTGACCCAGGAGGGAGAGCCTCAGGGATAAGGCCCTTCGTCTCCTTTTTGGTCCATGAGTTCACTTGAACCCACGCTTTGTCAGGGTCGGTTCCAAAGCTAACTTCTTTAATGACCGCATTGTAAACATTGACCAACATGCGTTTGAAAGAAGGTTTGACAGTCAGAGAGTGCTCAACCCAAAGGCTATTGCCAGAGTTCACGCAGGGACCACCTCTAGTGGATCCGTCGGACAACCCGAGGGACAAGATGGGAGACGAGGGAGTTGAGTTCATCGGAGGACTTTGACTTGAGGAAAGAGAGCAACTGTTTCTTGGTTGGACCCTTAGATCCTGCAGTCACCGAAGACAACAGGACCTGGAGGGACAGCGGCGAGTACACCATGTTCTTCCCTTTGCCTTCGGTCGTGAGCAGCTGCTTGGTAATTCTGAGTGCGACATCGGTTAGGTTGCTGATGGGTTTTTTGAGATCCATGGTGAAACTGACGGATTGATCGGCGCGGCAGGAAACACCAGGCAGGCAAGTGGGAGAGATTTAGATAATTGAAATCAAACCCTAAAACACACACTCACGGCTCTCTCTCTCTCTCTCTCTCTCTCTCTCTGAACAACCCTAGTAACTAGGCTATTATATACACATGGAATAAAACCATTTGACCTTTGGAATCCCCATCTATTACTTTCCGCACAAGAAAGTGTACCGTTGCGTAACCCTAAAGAAAATAATTTAATAAACATCTATTCTTTATAAAAAGGCTTATTATATTAACACCTCATAAATTGTTGAATAAGCCTCACATACTTAATACACCCCACATTTACTTTTTTCAATTAAAAATTATCTTTATACACCCCACAAACCTCTCCATAATACCCTCACACCCCCACATTCTCAAAACACACATTATATTTCTATATACACCCAAATTTCTTCAAATTTTATAATACTCATTTTTAATTTTGATGGATTGAATCTAGATACCCTGCTGTTCCTAGGCTAATTACATCTGTGATTAACTTGTTTTTCGTTTCTAGCTTGAGAGCATATTATCATTAACCGATTTGGACGCTAACGCTTATCTTAATTTTTTTTATCTTTGTGCAGATTGAAAAATCTTATGTCACTTCCAAATTCAAGAATTATCCAAACTCAAGATCTTATGTAACTTTTCTATAACAAAAGAAATAAAAAAAATAAAACAGAATTATTGAAAGTTTCAAGCTGTTGGCATTTCAATTCACAGAGCTAGTTCAAAGGCATAAGTTCTGAAGTTTTTCGACATAGTAAATGCTGGGATGTGATAAAATGTGTGGTTGGAGAGAAAATAACTTCTTGCAGTCACAATGATCAATAGCATTGGCATATTCATAGACATTTTATTAGGGTTTTCTCAATCAATGTGTTTGTAATTTCATTAGTTAGGATTTTGTTCAACAATGGAGGGTGGGAGGGTTTTGATAATTGAATAAGATAAATAATACGTTAAAAATGGTGTGGGGTGTATTTGGAATTTTTTTTTTAAACTTAATAAGGTCGAAATTGGCATTGCATAGTAGAATAAATAAGTAATTTAATATTGAATTTTTTGTGGGATGCATTCAATAATATGTGGGGTGCTAATAAAAAAAAACCTTATAAAATTTTGATTAAATATTTTATTTTATTTAAAGTTTATTTCTTCACTTTTCTCAAGAAAAAAAGTTTATTTCTTATTACTTTTTTTGTAAACTTCAAGTTATTTCTTTAGCATTCCCTTTTTTTCTCCTATTATTAATGCATTTATTATGCATCTCTTTATGATGATTTCATCATATCTTTTTTACTTTATTAATTACTAGCCTCTCTGCATGCGCTCAAGAACATGCGAGTGGCATTTTTTTTTATATAGCGCCCCTCGAAATGTGTTGCTTTATTTATTTCCTTAATTCTTAAGTGTTTCTTTATAAATATCCAGCTTAATTACCATAGTGTGGTATAATTGTGAATGTATTCTTTTCTTGATTCTGCACTTTTGCATGTACTTGGGCTTGGCATGAGGCGTTTGCATGTGACATTTTTAGGTCTCAACACTCAGATTCGTAATGAAAAACACCCCTCAAAATCCGTCTCGGGAGATATGTTCGTATGAAAATATTTGTTTTGATCATTTGTCAAGGGTAAACAAAAATAAAATAAAATGCAACATACGGTTACAAATAAAAGAAACTGAAAATATGACTTTAGCCCTTGAAATTTAATTTTCTCCACATAAAACCCGTCATAAGTTTTTTACTCAAATAAAACCCATTAACTAGATTCCACATTAGCAAATTCATTAATTATATTTGACTTTACACATTTAAAAAATTTCGATTCCCAAAACACCCCTATTTGAATGTTTTGATGTATACAATTAGTTCCATATAGATTGTAAGGGAGAATTAATGATTTTACGAAAATAATAAATAATAAATTTATTGCCTAATATATAATAACAACAAAACATGCCTAACATATGTAACAATACATGCTTAGATAAGTCAACAAATTATATTTTACATATAAATGTAGGTAAATTATTTCACACACATATATATAACAAAAAAAAATTAAAAAAATTCCTGGTATACGTAAAAATTCATGCAAAATAATTTACCTACAAAAAATGTTATTTGATTCAGTGCACCTACTATTCAAATTTTAAAATGTTAGATTGCTTAAAAAAAAGCAAAATAATTTCCCCACTATATGTAAAATACATGCAAAATAATGTACCTACATAAAAAAATATTATTATTTTATTCAGTACTATTTTACCTATTATTTTGTACATATAATAATAAAATGTGCCCAATATATATGATGATACATACAAAATAATATACCTACAAAATATATGTTATTTGCACATCATAAATTTACATATAGGTAGATTAATTAGTATAATGTGTTTGATCATATATGTAGTATTGTGCATACATACGTACATATATATATATATATATATATTGAGCTTGTGGTAGTACTAGATACATTTGAACGTGTATATATATGTATATGTGTGTGTGTGTTAGGGGTAATAATATGTAATAAATTATTTGTTCATTGTAATTAAGGTGGGTAATAATATTTATTGATTTATTTTGAATGTTGTGGTACAAGTTGTAAATATTTTGTATTAATAGGTCAATTACTTTCTTACATGGCAATCACTTTTAAATTTAGGTTTTATTTGAATGTTTATAATTAGGTGGGTTTTTATATAGAAGACAAGAATTATAATGGTCTATATCTAAAGAACCCTAAAAGAAAAGAAAACCAAATTAAGTCGCGCGCAAAATGCGTAATAAAAGAAAGTCTCCTTACATGCACAAAAGCACGTTCTTGGAAATTAGTAATAAATAAAGGAAGAAATACAGTAAGAACCAAATAATAGTGTTAGAGAACAAACTAAACTATCAATCTCTAAAAAATATCAAAACTCATCCCAAAGTAATATAGCAACCAATCATGTTCCATATCCATGTCCTCTCTTTGTCCAACTTATTTTTCTTTGAACATAGATTGTCCTTAAGCCTCTCAATTTGTAGCAAATTCAAATTTGAAAGCAAAATCTGCATATTTTTTTGTACCTATAGACAATAATTAACAGAATCAAAAGTTAAAAGATGACTTGATGACTGGAATGAGATATTTTCTATCAACGCTTAAATCCAAATGCTATCAAACCAAGGGCACATGAATTATCAAAATGAGACGTGTTAAACCAATTCGGACATTTCGACCAAAAAAAAAAAAAAAAACTAAATCAGACGTTGTTCTCAATTTTATTAGCCAAACTATGACTTGTAGGGCAAAGAAGTAATAGTAACCGGAAGAGAAAAAGCTATGAAGGTATGCTAATGAACTATTTATGTTGCCTTATTTAATATAGGTTTTTTTGTGTTCTACATGTCCTCCATTTGTTGTATTCTTTTTTCTCCATTTCTATTTTATTTGATTTATAAATACATTCAGTTCTCTTTTAATTGGCTATATACTGCGTGTGAGAGGCTTTAAACATGCACACAACAGGCGTCTTACACATTTGTCATATTTAACACACGCCAAAAATAAAACTAAGAAAAATATTACCCTTTATCTTGATAGATTAAAAAACATGTATTAGCATGTCCTAACATATGATTCTGTTTTGAGGGTCTAATTTGTCAATATTTGAAAGACACTCTTGTGCTCTCTTCAAAACAATAGGCAAGACAACAATATTGTTGGGCACTTTATCTTTGTTCAATCACATCTTTTCGGTATCTCCATTAGCCGTTAAAACCTTCTCTATTAGAAGCAACTTGTCCTACAGCTGCATAATATGCTCATATTAAATGGTTCAATAACAACTGGAGTGTTGTCAAATGGCATGTAGGCATACTCAATTGAAGGTGAGGTTCTGATCATGACAGAGTGCAAGAAATCCTGCATCAGGTTCAACCGAAGCACCAATTAAATGGCAAAAAGCTATGTAATAAATTTTAGCTGGTGTTTGTTCTAAAACTTTAATCCATCGGAACCACAAAGGAACCTAAAAAAGTAGGAACAACCACATTAAGCTATAAAAATGATAATTTTTCATTTTAAGTTTTTACTTATACATGCATAAAGCGTATGTCTAATTTCATGTTATATCTACAAAGAGTAAAGCGAGTACAACTCATCTAACCAGAAGAGTTAGAAAAAGCAGCCAACCATGCAAAGAAGTTCTTTATAAAAATTAAAAAAAAAGGAATGCAAACAGCAGGATTTCTCAATGCAAACATCTTTTGCTCAGGATTTCGTTTGTCAAACATTTTTTTAGTACAAATTGTTTATCAAGCATCATGATCATGATGGTTTTTCTCAGGCATTTCATTAAACTATACACATTAAACAAAATATAAAATGTCAAACAAACCAAATATTGGACTTGCCGCTTCCAGTTGCCATGTAAATCAAGTAGTCACTTCCCTTCTCTATGTATATCTGGATAACTTTCTTTCTGTATAGAGGACCCATAGTTACTATCTAAAACATAAAAAGAGAAAGAAAGAAAGGAGACAATTAAAACATGAAAATATAGAGCAGGGGACGAAGAGAAAAGGTTATCCCCGAAAAATCTGACCATACGAATTTGATTTCAATCGTAAGTGGGTAGTGTGCCAAAGAAAAATGAAACACATAGGAATTGAATTAAACTCCAATAAACTCCCAAACAATTATATGGCATAGATGATAAATCAGTAAAAAGTGGAGAAAGGAAACCGGC